GATTGCCAAGAAATAAAACCAAACACGGTCGTTGGCACACGTGCGCATATGGTGGATTTGGGTCAATCCCACTTTATCCATAACTCCCCTTTTTACAAAACTTGGGGTGCCCTTAGGCCTAACCCAAGTATGTCAACTTAAAATTTACATACTCATATAAGCTCTCTTATTTGTTTCTATGTGGGACACTCAAAATAAGGCAACCCACATTTGACTCTTCAACTTCCCATTTCACAAATCCGAAAACAACATCACCTTCACATTCACTCATAAATGGTTTTGACAACCCATCTTCACCGTATGAATTGTCATACGGCAAAGAACACGTCACCCCTTGAACCCACCTCAAAAGATGGCCTCACTTAAATTTGTGCTCAAAGATGATTCAAAATAAGCCTATAAAGTCAAAAATTCCAACAATGAGTCCTAATAAAAGAATGACTCTTAAGTTGGGTAAATTAAGACTCTTTTGACAGGTTAATATTAATCCAATTAGGAGAGTTGAGTCTAGACGGTATATTATTTCTAAATGGAATAAGTGTTTGAGAAGAATACAATCTCTAGGAGTCAAGATACTCTATACAAAAGCAGGTGCACCGTGAGTCAAAGGTATGTGAGGTTTTGTACTTACTTTTACTCTGCTCAATTGTGTTTCAACAGTTGTTTACAAACTTTATTATGGAGTGCCCTCCCGATTGACGAGAACTTGGGTTAGTTCTTTTTTTAGTTTTACAGGCGTAGATATCGACAACAGTTGTGTGTTCTTAAGTTTTGTTCTCAGAATTCTAAAAAGAAGATTAGAGTACTAGTTGTGATCAATTTTTAGGACACACATTACTCGGGTTATGTTAAATTTATATTTATTTTATTATTCAAATTTTGAATACGATTTTTTTTAACTACATATAATATATATTGAAGGCAGGAATCTAAAAACATGTGGTTGAATTCTCAATGAGACTAAAATGGACAAAACTTCACGGGAGACAAGGATTCTAGATTTTCAACATAAAAAGCTTGTGGTGATCTCAAACTAAAGTGTTTTCTTCACTCTCCTTCAATCATTTACGTTTAAACTTTACTTAAATGCATCTCTCCTCTTTATGCAAAACCATGACCAAGTGTATTTCGCGACGTTTGATGAAGTTAATAAATTTATATATTTTTCACCCCAACGAAAAACAATATTTATTATAAAATAATTCAAAAGATATTATTCTTTTGTCAGAGTTCTTGCTGATCTACATCGACTAGTGTGAACAGATTTTGTGCGTGCTAAAGTATGACTACACAATTTACTCTAATCTCTCTTAAGATATTGGGAATAAAGTTGAAGAGCGTGTACATTAGATGAGATTCACACTTGAAAGGATGAGTAGAATAATTAATCCAGATACTCGTCAAACGGGAGAATATTTTGATGATCAAGTCAATAATCAAATCTCTCAAAGATAAATTGACAGAGTAACAATAACTCAAGCAATAACTCACACAATATTACCCATACGTCTGACCCACATGGTGCTTGTCATTATATATAGTGTTCTGCCTCTTCTTAGTGCTCATATTCCATTTGAACTATTATTCTGTACGAATAACAAATCAGCTAGGACTCATCTTTTCTAATTGGATTAGGGCATAACTCTTCACATCTCACCCAACCTAGACGTCAACTTATATCAGAACTCTGGTCCTTCATTGAATATCTCAGACAAGGCTATGAACTTTAGGATGTTTTGAAAAATTGGTAAAAAATTGATTTTTTTGAAGTTTTAGCTTTTTTATATCAGGACACTGGTCCTTTATTGAATACCTACACCTTGGCTTGTCACACTTCGCGACATGACATCCCGACCTTAAGCCTAGCCATGTGAACGAGACAAAACATGCCCCCACAAATTTTTTTTCCTCACATTTATATATATATATATATATATATAGCAAAAATGCATTCTGAATTTTTATCAACATTTCATATTATCACCTAGTACGATTCATGTGATTTTTTTGGGCACTGTGTTGGTTTGATTTATCTTTTTTCTTTTGTTTTTGTTTTTTGTGCAAGGGTAGTTATGTGTAGGGGTGTGCTAAAAAATTAGACATCCCGCACCAACTCAGCCTATATGGTTTGATAAGGTAGGGTTGGACTGGTTGGGTGATAAAATTGACTGATCAGTTACGCTGCTGGTTAAAATTTGTTAATTTCATATAGTTTTGTATGAGTCCATACTATATTTTATTTCAAATGAGGAAGACTCAGAAGAAATTGGGATCAAAACCATTTCAATTTCCTCCGAGTCTTCTTGATTTGAAATAAAAATATAGTAGGAACTCGTAGAAAACTGTATGGAATTAACAAATTGTAACTAGTAGCCCAACTGATCAGTCAATGTTATTCCCAAATCAGTCCAACACAACTCACTCATCTTATCAAACCACAAAAGCTGAGTTGGTTCAGGATGTCTAGTTTTTTAACATACTCCTACACATAACCACCCTTCAAAATTTAAAAAAATAAATAAAATAAAAAAATAAAACATGATTCGAGGCATTCGAACCTCGAAATTTCAAAGCCTCTAGCACGACTGATATATATATATATATATATACGGTAATGCTACGTAGCTCGAAAGAGCTTCCCCGAGTTCCCCCCGAAACGAAAACGATGTCGTTTTCGGCGTTTTCATTTTTTTTTTTTTTCAGAAGAAGAAGAAGAAAATCAGAAGGAAGAAGAAGAAGAGAAGGAAGAAGGAGGAGGAGGGATTGGAGGGGGCCAACAAATTGGGCTGGAGGCGGAGGAGGGGCGGGGGCTGCGAGGTAGAGGCTGCGACGATGATCGGCGGAGGCGGGGCTGCGACGATGGGCAGAGGCGACGGCGGAGGACTGCGACGACGGGCGGAGGGTGCTGCGACGACGACCTGCCTCCTCTCTCTCTCTCTCTCTCTCTTTCTCTCTCTCCCTCTCCTCTCCCTCTCCCTCTCCTTCTCCTTCTCCTCTCCCTCTGTTTCAGACCTGCAAGACGAAGAAGAAGAAGAAAAAAAAAAAAAAAAGCCCAAAAAAAAATTTTTGAACAAAAAACTCAATTCGCAAACCACCTATAACTGCTTGTACATTCATGAATCCTATCCGCACAAACCGCAATCCGCATTGCAGGTAATTGTGGGTTCAATTTTAAATCATTATTCATATATATATATATATATATATTGGTGTTGTCATTTTTATTATTCATGTAAAATAAATATGACTACATATCGCTTTACCCTATTCAACCTTTAAATCATAAATTTGAATTTCTTAACTATAAAATAACATACTTTCACTCTGTCTAAAAAAGTTTATTTATATAATATTTAATAATTAAAGTGTTTAAATGTACAATTTTATAGTTTAAATAATTAAATTTATATTTAATTATAGTTAAAAAAACCTTTCTATAATTATCCCAACAAAAAATATTGTTGCACTCATATTCAAGTCAAAATAATTTTCCCAAAAATAAAAGTTAACAATAAAGTCCAATAAAAATTTTAGTAAACAAGCTGGTACCTATATAACTTTGCTGATCAGTTATACAATTGATGAGTAAGTTCTGTTCCCCTTTCAATTTATGCATGAGTACTGTTATGCACATAGAAATGTTGCACAATTTTCACCGTATTAAAATTAAATTATGTTTGTATACTTAATAATAAACAGAACACATAAGTAATAAATTAAAAGAAAGAGATTCCAAAATTTGTTTAATTACAGAAATTAAATAGAAAATGGAAAAAGAGAAGGAGACAAGAAAATAAAATAAGAACAGAAAATACTTAAAGAAAATATTTTCTTAGAGTGATCAAGTGCAGTGTTTAACACTGTCTCTTTAAGACAGATTTGTCCTCTCTAGGATACTCACAGAATATGGACGTCTATCTCCCAGGATGAAATAATCTACAACGAATAGTAGCAGCACTACAAACTATTCGCACAGCGAACACACTTTGTGTTTATATAGTTTTTCACAGGAAAAATTAATGCAGCAAAATGCAGAGAGCAATAGCAAAAGCAAGAGCAAGAACGAAATTTGTGGATGCAAAATCCAAATGAGAGACTACCTATTTATAAATGAAATAGTAGCTTTTCAAAAAAGGTATAAAACATGTTCGGACAAGTTTGAACGGGTACAAACTTGTTTGGTTTTGAATTAAATAGATAAAAACCTGTTCAGATTTAAATTAAATAGGTAGGAACCTGTTGGGTTTGAACTGAATAGATATGAATCTGTCCGGACAGGTATGGAACCTGTTCGACAAAGTTTGAAGAGGTGCAAGCCAAAATTTAAATTTTCCAACCGAAATTTGAAATCAAAATTGAACAGAATTTATTTTCCAAACAAAAAATAAAAACAAATTCAAATGTAATGTAATGTTTTTTGCTCAAAAAGATAAATATTGGGCCGGACAAGCCCAATCTCACACCATGCACCCGCAGCCAAGCCCAACCAAGCCGGATAGTGGTGCGTACGTGTGTTTATTTTGGGTCCAATGGGTCTAGCCCATAACCTCCCTCTCTACAAAACTTGAGTATCTCTTAGAGCCTTAAGTTCCAAACTCAAAGCTTATAAACCGACACCAAGTTTGCCCATCAAAGCAATGTGGGACAAACCTTAACCCAACTTTTATGGAAATTTCACCAAACACACCATTTTCATGGAGCTCACTTTGGTATCGATTTCTCATTCACCTGATAATGGTTTTGAGTAACCAAATATACGACGTGAATCGTTACGTAGCAAATAACGCGTTGCCACAACGACCCGCCAACTTTAGCGCATGGGTCTCACTTAAAAATTAGTCCAAAGTTTGGAAAAAAAATCTGTTTTTTCCGAAACCATTTTTCAAACCATTTCTTACAAGAAATACTATAAAAAATTAATTATTATACAGAAACATACGCTTAATTATGATCTACTTAAAGTTACAATGTCATCATTATCAATATAATTCACAAATATGTCATTGGCAAGTCATTGTAAAAGTTACTTCTGTATAAAAATTTTGGATGATATATCATTTTCCTTTGTGCATCAGTGATCCTCTCAGATTCTGCTTGCCAGAACATAGGAAAAGACAAGACAAGTCAAAGCAAGATAGATTCTATCTCCAAGTCCCTACCATACAAAACCATGACAAGTTGCACTATATGGAGAGAGAGAGAGAGAGAGAGAAATTCAACACAGGAACCTGGTTCACATGATATATGGAGCCCAGTAAGTTAATTCCAAAAGAAAATCAAAATTAGCATCTAACAGTCTCTCCTCACACTATACTTGGAAAGCCTTCTTGACGATTTCCAAACCAATTCAATTCGTATTCCTCCATCTCCATGGATTGTTGATTGCATTTGTATAAGAATTGAAGCATAATCCTTAGTTGTTCTTAGGAGGAGGAGGAGGAGGTGGTGGAGGTTGATGTAGTTGCTGATACAAGGCTGCCATCCTGTTATAAGCTTCCATGTTCATGGGCTACAACAAAATCATATAGTAATCAACAACAATTCTCCAATTATGTCATATATAAGGGTTGATTATGACATGCCCTTACAATTCATCTTCTACACTTCATATATAAGGGTTAATTATAATTTATCCCACTAACTATTATTGATCATCACTTTACCCCCTCAATTTTAAAAGCATACATTTACATCTCTCGCTTAAAAAAAATAAATAAATAAATCATCGTACAAACTAATTAGTCATGAACTAGTTCGTGAATCAACTACAAACTACTCCATACGATACAATGACCGATATGCAAACGATTTTTTTTTCTATCTGTATAGTGTGGTGTATCGATATATATATATATTTACCTGTGATTGGCATGAAAGGAATGTGGCCATGGGGTCTGGCATCACTGTAGGATGAGGAACCAATCGATCACCGATGCCATCCCATGAAGTTAGAGGCATGAAGGCAGCGGTAGGGTGAAGAATAGGTGGGATTCCAGCAGCGTTAGGGCGGCCGATAGTGTTCATGTCCATGCCCATACCCATTGGAGCCATCATAGACAATTGGAGTTGTTGTTGCAAGGCCATTGGAAACATCATAGATGGCATTGGCATGCTCATTCTACTCATCATTTGAACTTGAGCTTGCAGTACCTTCAAGTATTCAATCACTTCATCAAGCATTGAAGCTTTATCTGTCTGCAAAAAAATAAAAATAATCGACACATATGTAGATGTTAAGGAGATATAGACAAAGATTAGTCTTATTAATGTGTGCATTTAAAATACATGTTGAGATTTAATAAAAGTTTATATTTTTTATTATACTCACTTTTATATGCAATGTATAATAGTTTTTAAGTTTTTTTACTATATTATCTTAGAAAAAACGTTAACAAAATTGCCAAACTATTTATGATCTCAATATTGTTTACACATATTTTAAAATATTTTTATATACTTTTTACATATTTGTAATGCTAATAACAATCCTAAAAATTGTTTTAAATATTTTGGATAAATTACACTTTCCTTTCTTGAGATTTAAAGAAAATATAGTTAGTCTTATATTTTGTATATAATTACATTGGTCTCTCTTAAAATTTTAATTTACATAACAATGAGATCATTTTTTATTAATAACTTGTCAGTTATAATTAATTTATTTATTTATTTATTTAATACCAGGTTGGGCCAAGTTGAGTTAAAAGCACAAATCACAAGCCCAGCACATTAATATATCAGGCTGAAAATATTGACCCAACCCGATCCTATGAGCTACAAAGGCTGGGCTTCAATCCAATACATGATCGGACTAGAGGATACTGTTGGGCCCGTGGGGGGCCACCACGAGTCTCATTTTGATAATCTGAACCGTTTAATGTATAGAACTCGTCAAGCACCATATGCCTGTAAAAAATCACGTTGATTAAATATCAATAATTATCTCATCGAATCAGATTTCTGTCAATCGTTTATTTTTTAATGTCCTTTTTTTATATACAAAACTGATTTGATCATGTAGCTAACGATATCCGATCAACATGATATTTTGTAGTCATATAGTACTCGACGAATTCTACACATTAAAATGTTCAGATTATCAAAACGAGACCCATTGTGGACCCCCACTAGCCCAACAGTACCCTCCAGTCCGATCACAAGCTGTAAGAAAATCGGCCCCGAACTAAAACAATCTTCTCAAACCCTTAAATAATAGGATTAGGCCGGACAGGCTAACGGGTCGATATCCACTCCTAGTTATATGAATGAAAAAATGATACCATAATTTTTTTTTAGTAAGATGCATATTTATCATTGTTTATTTCAATTTTACTTATTATCTGAATTAGTTTCAATCATTTTAATTTTATTTTCAAAAATAATAATTTAATTATATAAAAAGTGAAAATTTGACATATTTTTCTCAAATCTAGGTGAATGTAATTTATCCTATGGTAACATTTTTCATATATATATATATATATATATAGGTACAATTTTTTTATGAGGATTTATAAGAACAGTGATTGAGTTGAGAAAAGCACAAGTTATTGGGGCCTACATCTATGAGTATTTTTATTTTGTTGCAGAAGAGATTGTCCCTGTCAAAAATAATTAAATAGTCCTCCATGGCAGGTGATATGTGTGGACTAGGATCATCACATGTGTCATTCCCAACATCATTCGAAAGCATTGAATGGTTTCGTTTGGACCACACATCATATTCTATTTATTGTTTTTTTACTCTATTTGCCTTGACATTGGGGCTTTTGACTGCTAATTTTGATTTGTTTCTCTATTCTGGTTAGGTATTTACAAATTATTTTCCATTTTCATTAGGATGTTTAATTATTTTTAATTAATTTTTTTTTATTTTTTAGATGTATCTGTTTAAAATTTAAAAATAAAAATTGACTAAAATATTTTTAAAAAATTATTAAAAACAAACAAAAATATCTTAAAAACAGTTTTTAAAATATCAAACCAAGCAGAACGTAGAATTTTTAGAAAAAATAAAAAATAAAAATGTCACCACACATTAGAGAGGGATTTCTCTCTCTTGGAAAATAAATAAATAAATAAATAACAAGAGAGAGAGAGAGAGAGAGAGAGCAGTATACCTTGCTGGAATTTGGGACCATCTTCTGCAATGTCTTCATCCTTTGGTTGATCTTATCTCTTCTTTTCTAAAAATAACCAAACACCCATACATTTCTAATATTAGCTAATACTACTGGATAAAGGAAAAAAATACATATTTTTATTGAGAAATTTGATTCCTTTCCCCTACTCGATAATTTTTTTTTAAAAAAAAAGAGAAAAAAAGGATTCATAATCACTTTTCTTTCTATTACACATCAATTAATTATTTTTACTCTCTCCTCTTTCCTTCTCTCATATTTTACGCATCAATCAATTATTTTTTCTCTCACACTTATCTATTCAGCTACAAAAAAAACAAAAAATTAAATCATCCCAAACTCTAAAACTATTTTCAAAACATAAAATCAAACAAAATTTTAAATTTTATAAATTATTCCAGAAAATTGTTTTTCCAAATTGTTTTACAAATACTAATTAAACATGGCCATTAAATTCTTTTTCTAAATTTGTGTCATTTTTTTTTTCCCTAATCCATATAGTATAGAATGATCTCAAAAGTAAGATAAAAAAAATGTTCATTGAAAACAAAAGCAAAAATAAAGAGCCAATTTTTGAGGGTTTCTTTTTTTTAATACTTTTCTGATCCATATAGTCGATTAGAATTTAAAAGTGTAAAAAAATTTGATTTTTTTTTTTAAAAAAAGCTCATTAAAAATAAAAATAAAAATTCAATAAAAAAAGTCACCAAAAATATCAAATTCCACACATACCCTAAGGCTCTGTTTAGTGTTAAAAACTGATAATTTAAACATAGATGTTAAAATCATTCATTTCCAAGCTTTTTAATGATTATTTTTTCTTAATTTATTTAAATTACTTTTGTATTGTAAATTGTATCAAACACTTTAACAAAAAATTCAAAAATAAAATTAAAAAAATTATAAACATCCCACAAGATCGGGACGAAAGGGTTGAAGATATAATCACGTATAGGAATTTTATTCGTAAATTATTCAGTGTGTATGATTTCAGTTTTCTGAATTAAGTTTTTTAAAAATTGAGTTTTTTGTTTTTTATTTTTTGTATTTTTTTTATTTTTACTGAATATTTTTAAAATTTTAAGCAAATTTTTTATATTTTTTTAAATGCACCTTATTTAGATGTATCTAAATAGTAGAATATTTGTAAAAAAAATTTTAAAAAAATTAATAAATACACAAAAATTGGAAAAATGTACTGAATTTTAGTTTTTTTTTTTTAATGATTATTTCCAAGCTTTTAATGATTATTTTTTCTTAATTTTTTTAAATTACTTTTGTATTGTAAATTGTATCAAACACTTTAACAAAAAATTTAAAAATAAAATTAAAAAAATTATAAACGTCCCACAAGATCGGGACGAAAGGGTTGAAGATATAATCACGTATAGGAATTTTATTCGTAAATTATTCGGTGTGTTTGGTTTCAGTTTTTTGAATTTAGTTTTTTAAAAATTGAGTTTTTTGTTTTTGGTATTTTTTTATTTTTACTGAATATTTTTAAAATTTTAAGCAATTTTTTTATATTTTTTTAGATGCACCTTATTTAGATGTATCTAATTTTTTAAAGATTTTTTCACAAATATTATATTTTTAAGTATATTTATGTTAGGCGTATCTAAAAATTAAAAAAAAAAATTACATAAAATATTAAAAAATTCGTTGAAAACAAAAATAAAATACGAAAAATAAAAATAAAAAATTTTCTTAAAAGTATTTTTTAAAAACCAAAACCAAACAAACTATTGCTTGATGTAATTGCTCTTGTGGATATTTTAAAAACTTTAAATAAAATATCACATGCGTACACCAATTAATTGTAAACTTTATGTATAAGAAAAATGATTTAGAGTACTAAAAGAGTGGCACTAAAGGAGCATTAAATTGTTTTTTTTCTCTTTGTGTTTTGTCTTTTTCTTTTTTTTTTTTTTAATTTTTTTTAGGCATGCCACCTCACTAGAGCTGCTTTTAGTGCTCTTCTTTTAGTGGTCTGTATCATAATTGTATATATAATAGTATAGATTGTATATATGATATATAAGAGAGAGAACATACACGTTCAGATTGATTATGGACGGCAGCAGCCCTACATCTTTTAGTTGAGATAGAAGATTTCCCGGTTGGTTTCTTCTTGTTTTCCTCCTCCCCTGCCGCTATCTTTAAACCAAAAAACAAAATGAATATATAAATTGATTAAAATTTAATTATTATTAAGCACAATTTTAAATTACTAATTTTTATGGTATTAGACCTACTAACTAATAATTTAGATGTAACAATTTATATATAATTTGCATTTGAATTTTAACTTTTTCATTCGAGTTTTGTCAAATAACATTCATTTATTTTTATTTTTAATGATCTTTTGTTTTTATTTTTTAAGTTTTTTTGTCAAAAATCAAAACTAATAATTAATTTTAAAAAACTCCAACATTATACAAGCCAATGTTAGAAAAATCTATCACCCTTAATCTAATAATCATAATAAAAATAACATTATACAAATATAATTTTTATACAAAATGATGCTACATTTGTGTCCTTTATTCATATCAAAACACATATTGATTTATAATTTCTAAAATACCATTAAGATGTCATTTTGAATGAAATTTCTCCATCAAAAATTTATTTAGGGTAAATTACAAATACAACGCTTGAGGTTTGCTTAAAATAGGGATTGTCTCTTGTAGTTTGAAAAATTACAAATAATTTCTTATCAGAATTTTTTATTTTACAGAATTAATTGAAAAAAATAAAATTCCTAACAATTTTCCTATACAATAATAAAATTACTTGAATTATTAATTGAAATAAATTTATAAGATTATTAAAAATTGTTAATTGATTTGATGATTTATTAATAAAATGAATAATTTGTTATGAAATTAGAAATTACAAAGGGATGTAATTTCCAAAACTAATTTATATTTTAAGCAAAATTCAGAATTGTATTTGTAACCTTTTATTTTCTGTACCATCTTCCATACAAATAATATTTAGAGTTAGATTTTTTTTTTTTTTCTCAAAGTTTACTCCTCAAAGTGAACATCTTATCTATAAATATATTTTTTAAAAAAAATTTTAAAAAAATGATAAGTTACACTGACTTTTTTTTTAATAAATTAAATTAAAATGATCAAAATTAATATAAATAATATGAAATTACAATGATAAATAAGAAATATATATATGTATGTATGTATATTATATAACATGGTATTTTTTTTATTCATCTGATTAAAGAATTATTAATAAAAAAAATATGACCGAATGTTATATGTAAATTAAAACTTAATAAAAAAATCTAATATAATTATATTAAAATTATAACATTTATTGTATTTTCCCTAACCGAGATCAGTGTAGATTAACCATAAAAAATGTATGTACTTAAAAAAATATTTTTCAAAAATACTTATAATGTTGGTGTTGAAAATTCAAATTTAATTAAGGGCTCATTTGGCTAAAGATTTTTGGCTAAAACGAAAAAAAGTAAAAATGACAAAATTTAAGCCTTGTTTGTCATCTACTATATAATCCATCTTTTTATCTTTTTATCTTTTTTCCATCACATCACCTCTCTATTTTTCTGCACATCTTTTCGTAAAAAGACAAAAAGTGCACTTTTTTAGTACACTCCAAACCAACCCTTACTATATAAGTCAATAAAATAACATATCACATCCAAATTATATCTATTACACTTTTTCGCTTATAAAAGTAAAAAAAAAAAAAAATCTCAATATAAAAAAGTAAGTTAAAAAAGCCAATACCAAACTAATGTTAAGGCAAGTTTGGCTACTCAAAATAAGTACGCACTTTTTATCTTTTTATTTTTTTTTTATCAAATCACCTCTCTATTTTTCTGCACATCTTTTCGTAAAAAGACAAAAAATACACTTATTTAGGTCATCCAAAAATATAATACACGTAAATCTAATTCACACAAATTTTATTTTACTTTTAAAATTCAAAAAGTGGCAAATAATATTACCTGGGATCTGCTGTGAGAAACGGAGTCGTGGTCGTCACCTGCGGTGGCCTTGGTCCAGTGCTTGCCGGAGCTAGTGTTTTCCAGAGAAGTAGAGGTGAGCCCGCGCGCACCCAATTCCCTCTCACACGTGTCAATCGCCAACTGCCGCCTGTCACTGTTGTCTCGGCTGCTCCACTCCTGCACATGTGCCACCCTCGCACGCTTCTTCTTCTCCTCCTCCTCGACTTCACTATACGACCCCACACGTGTGGAGCGTCCGATCACGCACGTGCTAATCCCTTCCTGCGCTGCTCCGGCGGTGGAGCAGGGCACCAGAGCATCCATAGTCACGGCGGCGGCGGAGGCAGCGCGGTGATCGAACCACGGGACGAGATCGGAGGCGGCAGCGGTAGTTTTGGGGTGGGGGAAGCAGGTGGTGGTGGCTTGGTCGACTATGGATTCTAGGGTTCCGCCGGCGCGTGGCTTCTCCCATGTGTACTTCGCGGCGGCGACTGGTAGTTTGTTTGGCACTCGCGGTGGTCCTAAGCCGTGCATGGCGAGTTGTCCATTTTTCCATGTTAGCTCCGTCACTTCGTAGTCTAACCTGCAGATCATATTTCACCATGATATCGATATTGGTGATAATTGCTTATATCGAGAATATCAGATATTATCGGCCGTTTATAAATAATTATATTTAAAATTAAAAAATTTATTATGAAATGGCCGATACAATACATAATGATTGATATTTAAAACGTGATAAGCATATATATATATAAAGAGAGAGAGGAGAGAGAGAGAGAGAGAGAGTACAAAGGAACGTCAGGGCATGAGGAATTGCGGTTGGAGTGAGCACGAAGGGTGAGAGTGGGAGGGGTGTGATTTTCATCCATGTCCCAGCTTGGAACACACTGGCTCATTTTCCGGGAAAGTTGTGTTTGCTGTGAGGAAAGTAAGAAGAGATAGATGGTTTACACTGCTATACTTTGTTCAATTTTTGTTTTTTCTGTGTGTGTGCGTGTGTGTGTGTGTGTGTGAGAGAGAGAGAGAGAGAGAGAGAGAGAGAGAGAGAGAGAATTGAGCTTATGTTAGAAATGAAGCCATTAATTAGAGCATTTGAGAGCAAGGAAGGTTTAGAATTGTTGTGGGTGTGTTAGGCTGGTGTGTTTTTAATTGGTATCTATAAAGGTATTTTTCTGTGGTTTGTAAGGAGGTACTTGCAATCAACTATGCACTATGCACGAAAAGGAAAAGGACTACAAAGATTTTGGCAGCTTAGAGTTAGTTCGAAAATAGGGAGGCTTACGGGGTTTGGGATGGGTTTGTCGCTTTTAAATTCCATCCCTATTTTTATGGATAATTCTAATTTTACGCATTAATTTTTTTTAATACATATATTTAATGAATACTTTCTCGGTGTACACATTATAAAAATATTAATTCTAAATAGATATTTTTATATTTTAATATTACTCTCATTTTTAATTTTAAAATCTTAAAAGTACATTTGGTTTCAATTTTTGAATCAAGTTTTTAAAATTTTTATGAGAAAAATATAAATTAATTTGACAAAACTAAATATCAAAAAAACATTTTTTAATTTTTTAATTTTTTTAGCCCCTAAAATGAAACCTTATTGAAATAAGAAATTTTTTTTTTTTTTGGTATTTATTTTTGAAAACATATTCTAAAACTATACCAAACAGAGTCTAATTTTATGGCATTTTAGAAATAGTGTTTGATTAGAAGAAGATGAGGGTATTATGGTACTTTTATTTTAAGATAAAACTGTATTAATAAAAAATTTCATTAAGCGTGTGAACTGGGTGGAATTCGTGTGTAGAAATAGAATTACCCTATTTTCATTTCAATTCTGTTACACGTGAAATTTTTCAATCTCATGTCTGCCCTCACAAATATCTGTGGATATCTGATTATATTTTAAATAGCCAAAAAAATTAAAAACTATTTAAATCCTTAACATGCTGAATAATTTTTCTTATTTCCATACATATAAACTGTAAGACTTTTTGAATTATTATTTATTTATATTTAAACAGAAAACCACTGACTTTTAGTGTTTCTTTCTTATATCTAATTATATTATATATATATATATATATATACACACATATATACACACACACATACAAATATTATTTATTTATTTTATTATAATTATATTGGATTGGGTTTGGATCGAGAAAGGCGATACTTACCCCCACCCCACGACCATTGTGGGTGACCAAAATATAATTCACTTCTGCTCAATATAAGTGTCGGGTCGAAAAACTCTGTCCTATTTGAACGGGTAGGGACGGACCCCACGAATCAGACTAAAATAACCATTCTTATTTAAAAAGTTAATAAAATAGTAAAAAGTTAAAAAGTGATAAAAATGAACACAAAAAAAAATGAAAAAATAAAAAAAAATACTAAAAAAACTGTGGGGATATATTTTCTGAGTACCAGCACGTGGCCGAGGTGACGTCGACGTGTCAGCCGAGGTGCCACGTATCCTGGTCATGATGCCGAGGTTATCTCCGAAGATATCGGAATCCGAGATAAGCGGATAAGGTACAAGAGTACTAGAATGATGAGGGGACTCAGCCTGGATAAAGATAAAGCTCTTAGGGAGTTTATCTCTATCTATTGAAGAGTCCTGGATAAACACTGAGTTAAAGTCCATTGAAGCTAGGCTTCTGTTGGGACAAGGATTGAGTTAACTATAAAAGAAAGGCACCTCTGATGGGTCTAAGGTACGCAATTTATATTCTAAACAGTGATTTTAGCATTATTGATTATCTTTGAGAGATATACTGACTTGATCGTCGGAGTGCCCTTGGGTGGACGAACCACTGTCGGAATCTTCTCTTTCTGTTGCAGGACAGCCAGGTGTCATCTATTCTGTCAATGCTCTCCAGCTGAATACTATGTTGGCAGTGTGATCGAAAATTCACTCACACAAAAACCTATTCTCAAACCACCTTTTAAAATCGTTGTTTGTCAACAAGATAAAATGGGTAAAGTGTCAAAATATATATATATATATATATATAAATTATAATATGAGTGTGGAGAAGTGGTTTGGAAATACTCTTCTGATCCTGGGGGACGCTCGTGATCCTCAGCTAGTCACCTGAAAATGAATAAACACTCCGGTCAGGGGTGCAGGAATTAGCAGTCCGACGGGCAAGTCAGTCTCTGCTCTCTGAATTACTTGTATTTTAAGTTAAGCGTAATGGTTCTCACATACCTCTTTCTAGCTGATGTTCTTCTATTTATATCTTTTCTTTTTTGGGCCTCGGGATTGGGCTCACTTTCAATTCGCCATTCAGCTTCTCTTGTAGCAAACTGCTTTTCACTCGATGCCTCGCTCCACCGGCTATTTGGCCGAATAAGGTAGGATTTGAACGTGTGAGACGTGGCTGAGTGCTATATATATTTCGACTCTCCAAGTTCAACTATTCGGCCTCTTTACGACTCCCAATATTCGGCCCCCACAATTTCCCCCCAAGCACTCCACTACCAACAGTTGGCTGGAGTGTTTGGTTTCAAACTCGAAAAGTCAAAGCCGAAATTCGGCGGTTGACCTCATTCCAAAACCGATGTCTGAGCACACGCCTCTCGGTTATCATTTCAACTTCCCGCCCTTTCGTACACTTCTATTTATTGTAATTTAAAATTTTGACGTCTTTTCAAATACATACACATTTTTAGGTGCTTGTCGCTGGACTGCCTTCCGAATTACCTCTGCAACGTCCTTTCCTTCACTATCATATTCGTCTTTTGTAAGTTCTCTCCCTCTCTGCTTTGAATCCTTTTTCCTGGTGTGTTTTTGGTTTAGCATATTCCCATTGGCTGAAGGAAATGGAAAAACATTTGAAAGATCTCCTCTCCTCAGATCGAATTTCTAGCTTTCGACGCCATTTTTCCATTCCTGATGACGTCCGTCTGTCAGTGACAGACGACACCCTCGATATGGAGAGGGCTGATCAAACCACGATCGTCTTCCCTCTTCTATTAATCGCAGAGGGTGGAGTCTGTTTCCCCCTTCACCCATTCCTTAAGGTTGTGCTTTGCCATTGGGGCCTAATCCCTTCCCAACCCAATGTCAACTTTTTTAGAATCGTAATGGGTATTATAGAGCTAAACCATTGCCTTAGGATTAACCTCGACATTCCTACTATTCGGCATTGTTATGTCTTGGCCAAGTCTTCTAGTCGATACGGATGTTATTTCCTTAGGGCCAAGGACACCGACCATCAATTAGTGACTATGCTTTCTAACTTTGGGATGCGAGTCGATGATGTTATGGTCGTTATCCAAGGTAACTGGGAATTCGGCGAAGGTGAGAATCGTCTCGATCCTATTCCTAGACGGAGGGGTGAACCAGGTGGCCGTGTAGCTTCTTGTGTTTATTTTTTGTTATATTTATAAAGTTTCATTTTTGAGATCTCATGGTTTTGCTTGTGCAGGAAACGATTTGAAGAAAGTCCTGATTTCAACCGACGACGCATTCTTTCGGAAATCAAAGTCATGCTCAAGTATTTCGGCCGTCCGAGTCTTCAGAAATAAGGGAGGACGGCCCACGTTCTGCTTTGCTACGAGCCGACATATACGACCTTCTCGGCGGCAGAAAATATCCCAATTTCGAAGGGTGAAGAGTTTCTTACCGCTCTTATTTTGACCGACTTCAAAAACCTGCAGCAAATTGATTTCGAGGGGTTCGATTCGGAGCGGGCGGAAGTAGCTGAGGTCGCCAAGTCAGATTAGTCTGAAGCAGAAGTAGACAAGGCTTTGAAGTTGGCCTTTGAGGAAGCTGGCCTCAATTCAGCCGACCCTCCGTCCACTTCGGGCCAAGGGGACCTTCCATTTGACGACGTTTTTAATAGTTTAGAGGACCTTCCTGGCCCATACCCCGAAGACATGGCGGGGTTAAGCCTCACACAACTTGCTAAAAAGAAAAAAGCGGAAAGGATGGCCACGCGGCGAAGAGCAAAGGAGGAAACGGCAAGAAACCGAGGTGCCGAGTCTCAACCTTCCCTGCCTGTTGCCGAATCTCAGCCCTCCTTGCCTATTATTGAAGAGGAAACGACAAGAAACCAAGGTGCCGAGTCCGAGGTGGTTGTGCAGGCTGATTGAGAGGGTAAGCAAAGGGCAGAGAAGCGTCCTGTCGAGGTCGAGACCGGCTTAGAAGAAAACCGTGCCGATAAACGGCCTCGTCTAGAGGAATCGGATATGATTGTGTCTTTTGTCATTCAGCCAAAAATAAAAAACACGCCGATCTCCTCTGATGCTTCGGCAATTAAAGACCCAGTCGTCGCACTCAGCATGGCTACGTCCGTCTCATTGCCGGCTGACAAGGCGGCTTTTCGGGCAGAGCCGGATCTGTTGGCAATAACACTAGCCGCTCAATCAGCTCTCCTGGTATATACCTTGACCTTATCTTTCCCTTTTATGCAAATATTGTTTTGGTTTTAATTTCTTGTTTCGCTGACGGTCGGGAGAATAGCCAAGATAGGTCATCGCCAGCATGACGCCATCGAACGACTTGGCCGTTTGCAAACGAAAGTAGAGGGCCAAAGGAGCAGGGCTGATTTCGAGGCGGCAAGGGCCAAAATGGAAAGCACCAGGGCCGAGGCCGAGATGGAGAGGGCAAGAAATGCGGATCAGCTAAGATTGGCCGCCGAGAAGAGGGCAGACGCGAGTGAAGACGCGCTCAAGTTAGCCCAGGAGGCGATTGCCAAACTGGAGGCTGAGCTGGAAGAATTAAAGAAAGCCAAGGAAGCAGCCGACTCGGAGGCTTCCAAGGCATTCGAGGTCGGGCAAAGTGCTCCTTTCGCCAACTATGTGGATGAAGTCCCCAAATTTGAAAGTCAGGGATTCAAACACGGCTGGCTCAAAGCCCTTGCTGCTGCTGATATGACATTGACTATGTCGATTTCATACGAGCAAGTGGATGTTGAGCCACTGGAGTTTGACTCCGAGGATTAATTTGGGTGACACTTGTTTTTGTTTTAGGATTTTGAATGTATTCTTACAGCTTTTCGTTTAGTAGTTTTCATGTATTACTACAGTTATAGTTTTTCGCTAGGCATTTTCATGCGAACTTGTAGCTTTTTGTTTAGTAGTTTTCATATGTAAAATGGCTACAATTTGTGCCCAATTTACTAATGAAAATTTCCTTTGTTCTTTGCTATTATTTGTGCTTAATTTTGTTATTGATGAATGGTATTGTTTTTTGCTACTTTGGATAAA